ACCTTTGTTCTTTCTTGTTTTCCAAATTGCTAGTTTAGCTGTTCCAATAAGATAATTCAATAAACAGATTTTCCTCCTCATTGAGAAAATGTATTTCATTCCCCCAATAAACACAGAAAATTCCTCATTAAATCTTCTAAACCAAGCTTTAAGCAAGTTAAAAAGGTCTTGCAATCTGTTACACCTTAAAAACAAATGTTCTAGATCTCCCTGCTTCCCACAAAAACGACATTCCCGAACTACTGCCGGGTTCAGGTGTGCCACCTATGGCCTCGTGAATAATCCTCCACTGTAGATCAGCAGTACGCTTCTCTACAGGGGGTTTATACAGGGTCCGCCACCTGTCCTGCACGAGAAAGTCTGGCTGTAACTAGGGCTGAATGATTATTTGCATTTGCGATAATATCGCGATACGAAAAATTTTGATTTTTCAATCGCAGAGGCTGCGATTACACGGTCACGTGACAGGCGAGAGTAAAGAGGTGTGTTCGACTTGAAGATCAGATCGGTTTATGACATCAAAGTACGGTGAGCAAGAGAATGCGTAAGGCAGGGCTGTCCAAACTCGGTCCTGGAGGGCCGGTGTCCTGCAGAGTTTAGCTCCAACTTGCCTCAACACACCTGACTGAAAGTTTCTATGCCTAGTAAGAGCTTGATTAGCTGGTTCAGGTGCGTTTAATTAGGGTTGGAGCTAAACTCTGCAGGACACCGGCCCTCCAGGACCGAGTTTGGACAGCCCTGCCTTACGCATTCTCTTGCTCACCGTACTTTGATGTCATAAACCGATCTGATCTTCAAGTCGAACACACCTCTTTACTCTCGCCTGTCACGTGACCGTGTAATCGCAGCCTCTGCGATTGAAAAATCAAAATTTTTCGTATCGCGATATTATCGCAAATGCAAATAATCGTTCAGCCCTAGTTACAGCCAGACTTTCTCGTGCAGGACAGGTGGCGGACCCTGTATAAACCCCCTGTAGAGAAGCGTACTGCTGATCTACAGTGGAGGATTATTCACGAGGCCATAGGTGGCACACCTGAACCCGGCAGTAGTTCGGGAATGTCGTTTTTGTGGGAAGCAGGGAGATCTAGAACATTTGTTTTTAAGGTGTAACAGATTGCAAGACCTTTTTAACTTGCTTAAAGCTTGGTTTAGAAGATTTAATGAGGAATTTTCTGTGTTTATTGGGGGAATGAAATACATTTTCTCAATGAGGAGGAAAATCTGTTTATTGAATTATCTTATTGGAACAGCTAAACTAGCAATTTGGAAAACAAGAAAGAACAAAGGTTTATAACTTGCTACAATAGATCCTGAAATTATATTTAGACGATTGGTAGAGGGAAGACTGAAAACTGAATTGGCTTTTTATAGACTTACAAATAATGTGATGTTCTTTTGTGATGTATGGCGTATTAATGAGGTACTATGTACAGTTAAAGATGATCAGCTTGTTGTGAATTTTTAAAGCAATTATTATTAATTTCTTTTTATTTTAAGGATTTTTTGTCAGTAATATAATGTGATGTAGGTTTTATAGAGTAATAAAGTGCTTGTTAAACCTCTCTCTCTCGCTCTCTCAGCTTTTCCTTTCCTATTTTTCCAAACTGTCATCCGTAATTCATTTACACATAGTAGCCTCTCTTTCTGTGGTTCATCATGGCATGTTTTTAAAACTCAGAATCAAATTTTGACCAATTCTTTCAGAAAGCTGCTAGAATTAACAGGGAACTTGAACTCGAAGCTCCCAATGCTGATCTCGAAGAAGCTGCCAAGGAGGCTGAACAAGTCCTTCAAAGGTTCAACCCTTCACAGGTTTTGTTGAACACTTTTAGTAATAACTGATTTGCTTTAATGAACACATCCTTATATTATGTGTTGATCATGTCTTTTCTTACAGTCCTTCCTCTCAAATATGTTGGTTATAGAAAATTTGTAACACTGTCTCAACATGTATATATTTCTCTTTGTTTCAGCTGAAAGGGAAGACCAAAGGAAGGCCTGTCATGGGGTTTGAATTTGGACATACTGTGCATTTATGGAGAAGACCAAAAGCTGCAAAGGAAAACACTTCCAATGGTACGTCTGTGTTGGTCTGAGCACCTTGACTGAACTGTACTGCAAAAACATTTGCGCAGCATTTGATGTTTATTTAACTTTGCTTTACATAGCCCATCAGGAAGAACACTCAGCAAAGTGTCATGTAGAGGTAGTAATAATTCATACAATTTACCAAGTCAGCAAATTCATATGATATTGTACAAGCGTACTCATACAAAATTCTATGACTTTTACTCCTGCTGTCATTGGCCATTGCCTCAACTCTCATGCAGATTGTGCCCATTGTAAGTAATCATGTGTTTATGTGTTTACAAAAGTGTTTGTATCATGAAGTTTATATTAAGTACATTGTATTCTTTATTAACCTTAACAAATTGGCGCCATCTCTTCTCGTTCTAACAGTACATGATATCTGTCCACACCTCATAGTCTGCCTTTCTTTCCGTATTGATTTTTATTGAACGTATCTATCTAAGAAGCAAGAGTCTGGAAATTACAAGTTTAACTTGTCACGTGACAAATCAGATCTTCAATTAATTTGGCCAAATCAGATCACTTAAAGCTGTTTACACCAAGAACAAGAAATATAATGGTAAATATTTTAGCATCCACACCAACAGACAATAATGGTCTGTTTACTATGTAGCGAATCAGCTCAAAGGGGAAATATGAATAATTAATCATAACTAGTTATAATTAATTATAAATATTTAGATCCGCTGTAAGTATTTACTTGACCTCTCAGGGTCAACTGTCTGTCAATTCTAAGAACGTTAATTTCCTGGTTAAGGGAAATAACTTTCATACTGTACAATACTACACAGAGCATGTAGCATACATCTGCATGATTAGGGACTCCAGTTATGAGCAAACAATGAACAACGTCAAGTGTGATACAAGTAAGACTTTATTAACTACATAAACACTTAAACTAGTCTAACATACACATACACACACACACACACATGCATATAGTTGGTATAGGACCAGGATTCAAGCTTAGGCAGTAAAGAGAAGAGAAATAAAGCATGAAGCTATGGGACCATTGAATATTCAGCAGATCTACCGCCTGAAGGAAACATCAGCTTCTTAGTTCAAACACACCTTTGTAAAAAGATGCAAATGATACTTAATGTATCAATTAATAAGACTAAGTTTGATACTTGCACGTCTTGTCTGTCTGACAGAGAGTCCTGATGCAATCTGAAGGCTCAAGTTGATCTTTGCTGAAGTTGGTTGATGGAAAAAAAACAGTTTGAGTCAGATGATCTTGGTGAATGGAAAGTCAAGGCCCGAGGCCTGGCGTGAACTTAGGGTGTCCTTAGGAGCGTTCTAGCTCACACCTTCTCAGAATCTAACAGAACCGCAGACTGAAGGCAGGTCACTGATGTGAGGCCTTTAATGTCTGAGAAGATTCACGCCTCTCAAGATGGGCTTGTCCAATGAGAAAGGCTGAAATCCCAAGCGGGAGGTTGCAATTACTGGAGGGTTTCACTACCCTTTGTGTGAGGGCATGGTAATTTGCAAACATAATTCGCTTGGGTGTTGATGCACAAACTAGTAAAGATTCTTAGAACACTAATATGTTGCATAGCTATCAGCATGTAATATGCACTCTCGTTTAGATCATCAGAAGATGAATTCATAGATACTAAACATGGTAGGATTACATATAGGTAAGATTACATGAACGAGTTGTTCTATCATAAGCCTGCATAAAACAGTATACAATATAAAAGACAATATACAAGGACAGTAACAACATACACAAAGACCTGGAGTATATGTTGTTCATTCAAAGAAAGGTTTTCCTATGAATTAATTAGAGAACAGTCCATTTCTCTGGGCCTTATGTGTCTTTCTTATGAGGAAAATGAGTGAGCTTTTCTACCCGCATTCCTTTGGGCAATAAAACCAGTGATATCAGCATTGGTTGCCATGGAATCAGAGGCCTATTTTGCCTTTCTGAGGTGTTAAGACGCATTTCGGGGGAAGGGTCCATAGGCCCTCATATGGCTTGTTAACTGAGGGGTGTTACAGAGTATTTGTTAAATATAACTAACAAAATATATATTGTGTGTCTGATTGGTCCAGACACTACAAATATCCCCCCTTTCGAACGTTGTTGTCCGTACAATAGACAACAGCGAGCGACGTCAAAGGTGCAGAACAATCAGACCCGCACCTCTCTGGCTGTTGTTGCCTCCAGGAGTGGTTGTGGTGCCATGGTGGATGCTGTCAAGTGGTATGCTGTGGTGATGTAGGCTGTAGCAAGGTGAGGGTACGTCAAAGGTGCAGAACAATCAGACCCGCACCTGCCACTCACTGCTGGGAGACAGTGGTGGCTCTCTGGCTGTTGTTGCCTCCAGGAGTGGTTGTGGTGCCATGGTGGATGCTGTCTTGTTGAGGCTATAATGCCTAAATGCTGACTTACAATAGGATGGAGGTTTCGGAGGAAGAGGCTCTTGAAGCTGGTGTGTCCTCCACCATCCCAGGGTAATTGCGAGCTCTGAAGTAAGCTTGTCGAAGTCTGTGGTAGTAACCATGGGGAGTTTCATGCTGGCCCTGTTTGGTGTCTAGGGCAGTGAACAAGTTCAGACAAGTTCAATGTTCAGACTCTGGGTCTGAGAATTCCTTTATGATGGCTTGTTTAAGCTGCTGGTGAGGCCACTCTCAGGATCAGTTCCTTTGATGTCCTCAGGATCTCTGCAGTATTTAGGTTGCCAGATGTATTGTCTCTGGCCAGCTCGTTGGGGTCTGTGGGGCCACACGGTGTGTGTGTCTGCAGTGATCCTCTGGAAGGGTCCCTGCCCCACCCCCCTGTGGCTGCTGGCTGGTGACGTGTGAACAGTGGCTCTCGCCCCCCCCTCGCAGGTTCGGACTCTTAGCTGAGGGGGTCTGGGCCTGCTTGCCAGGGGAAGTTCTGTGTCATGTTTTCCCTGTCTGTTCACCTTGTGGTCTGCAAGCATATTTCAGTTCATTTGTGACATTGAATTCACCTTGGCTTCATTTGACTTTACCCGATTGGTGTTTGTAGTTGTCTCGCTGCTGAGCAAGGACTTGAATTTCAGCTCGGGCTGCTTTGTTGAGGGGGCTGTAAACAGGGGTCAGCTGGCTTTGCATGTGGTCAAACTATTACTCAAAGCACTGATGGTTCACGGGTTTGGTCACTATGACAAAACTGAAATAAAATAAGATGAAATCAAAAAAAGAAAAGGAAGAAGGAAGATTTTACCTTTTTTTTTTTTTTGCTAGGAGATATGGCTAAGCAGGTGTCATTTGTGGGTGATGCTGCAATTGACTCACAAACCTAGGGTTAGACAGTTAGCTAAGCTAGCAGGGACACACCAAATACCTTTTAGGTCAAAAAGAAAAAAAAATAAACAATGGGAAGTGTTCCTAATTCTATCTGGGCCTACAATGTGTTGAACAGTAACTGCACTTCAATGTACTAGGCCTGGCACTGAGGAGTGAGGAGAAGTAGAGAGGAAACAGGGATTAGGCTACTAATAACCTGTATAACTCATTAAGGAAACAACAGTTGCTAGAACTACTGTAATCCTATACAAAGTGTGAAGATGGTGATGGTAAAATAACTAAAATAAAGTAAAAGTAAAACTAAAAGGTCCTAATAGCTGTAGGAAACTAAAAGGAAAAGTAAATAAACAAATTGATTTAATTCAATCTCAGATTTAATAAAAATCACTTTAGCTGAATTGGTACATTCATGCTAAACAAATGTAAATAAATGCAATAAAATCAAAGAGAGGTAGAATAAAGTCAAAACAAAAATAAACAATAAACACAAGTAAAACCAAAGTATGTGGGGAGGGACCGACATAACTGAATCCAAAGAGAAGGTGATAGCATAAACAGGAAGTGAAACCAGGAGTGACGGGGATAGAGAGAGAGAGAG